TTTTGTGCCAGTCTTACGATGCCTCGAGGCCTCGTTGCAGCCTTATTCTCATTTCTATTGTCCTTAACTCTCGCTTACTCAGCTCACTTCTCGGCGCGGTGGCAAGCACTCGGCGCAGCCCTATTGTTCTATAGCAGCCTGTAGATATATAAACGGCTCTCTGAGCGTGCAATGAATCACCATCTCCAATCAGTTCTACTACGCTCAGCCTGCCAGATCATCGATCCAGCGGCATCACGAGCCTAAGTTCCCAACATCACACAACAGTCTGCAGCACGTCATGAGTGTAGGCAGTCAACGCGACTCGCAAGCAAGCTAGCCCGCCTAGCTCAGCTGGTTAGAGTCTCCGACTTTTACACTTATTCGTTGACATCGGATGGTCGCGGGTTCGAACCCCGCGGTGGGCTTCTCGTTTTGCTTTTGTCCTATTGTGTCGGCCGCCATGACGCCCAGTCACTCGAGGACATCTGGCGACGTGTAGTATGGCTCGCAGCCCCTTTTGCTCAGACTTGCGAGGATCGTCAACTAATGAGCTTTCGAGCGGAAAATAATCGCCGATGTGAAGACGCCCAGTTTAACTGACGTCGGTCTATGAGTAGTTGGTCTATGTTAGAAGACTGTCCAGTGCTCGAGTGATGTTGTTGTATAGGAGCGTTGCTCGGTGGACCATTGATGGAGGGCGTCGTCCACGGGCATCAAGATTCTATGAGAGAAGACGTGCGTTCTCGAGGGCCATTAGTCGGGTGCCAAGAAGTGCAACACCTAGTAATCTCTCTCGAGGTTCGTCTTGCTGTCTGCACCTTGCCCCTTGTTGCACACGCAGAGCCGAGCACGAGCGTACTTGTGTAGCAGTGACCCACGAGTTATGCAATCGAGAACCCCATGCAAACGGTACCGGCAATGGCTAGGCGCTGTGAAGACCTGCAGCTTGTATTTTGACAAGCGTACAAGCGCACAAGCTCGGTTACGGCAGGGGCGACCAGCGGGCGGCGAGGCCTCTATCTCACCAGCGGCTTGCCGCTGAGTATGCCCCTCACTGATAGCGACGAGCCCACTGCTTCGATACCAAACAACCTGCCGACCGTCACTCCACCCTACCTCCTTTGCATTGTCCAGCGCACGCCTCCAACAGCTTTCCGCATCGTTTTACCACAGAGGGGCCTACGCCGGCCGGGCATGGCTCCACTTGGGCCGAGATCTGGCTGAGGTCTTGTGACGCTGATCCTCAGACAGTCAGCTGCCCACGTCACGAGTTGTCTTGAAGTGTCAACGTGATGCTTTTCTGACTGATATCCTGTGCTTCTCTTTATCCAGAGCTGTCAGATAGCCTTGATAGCCGCTGTATGTCGACGTTATCGATCGTGATAGGCGAGGCGGTCGTTTGTCGCTCCACCGTGCCATACTCCACCGAGCCATACTCCACCTTCGCTACAAGGCGGTGTCCGACCTCCACCAGGTTCACGCCACCGCGCAAGTCCCCGTGGCCGCCCATTGTACAGTGCCCACCTCACGGGTCCTCCTCAAGAATGCATAAGTAGTCAACCTCGAGATGCAACACAAGCGACTGCGTACTATCATTTCATAAACAGACAACTACTATACACCTATTGACTTCAGATTCTTTACTTCTCGCCTCCTCGGACGCGGTCTCCGCTACCCTATCGCCATGCTACCATTACTGTGCGTCTGTCGGAAAGGAGACTCTATGGGCTGCGATGCGGGCGAACGCGGCGCGTCTAGTAGAGGTTAGTGGTCTTGCCGGGGGCCTTCTTGGCCTGCTTCTTGGCCTCCTTGTGGAGCTTGGTGATGTTCTTCTTCCAGTTGCTGGTGCGTTAGCCTAGAATGCCGAAAACATTGCAGGGGGGGGGGGGCTTAGGAATGGTCGGAAATGACCGAGTGTGAACCGACTTGGTAGCACGGGTGCAAATTGGATGTGGGGAACAGGGGCAGCGGCACTTAATAGAGTTCCGCTATTGGGTGGGAACGCGGCCGAACCCTGGACCCCTATGGGCCCCAGACCAGCTGGCCGAGGGTCGGGCGAGTCCGGCAAGCGGTGGCGAGGGCAGAACACTCACAAGCACGCCTTGCACTCGACGTTGCCGTGCTGCTTGCACACGATGTTGCTGTCCTTAGCGTTGCGGTAGTACGCGGGAAGCTCGAGGGGGGCACGGGGCATGGGGTCGAAGCCCATGACGGCGTCGTTGTCTGATTGTCAGAACCATCCGTGAAGAGGAGCTCACCTTCGCGACCATCGAATCCACAGGGCTCACAGACCTCCTTGCCGTGCTCGCAGAAGAGCGCGTCGTTGATCTCGACTGGATGTTAGCTCTGTACGACAAGAGGTGGGCTCACTCGACGAGGTCGAGCTGGGTGTCAGCGCGGTTCGCAGGAGTCAGCTTACTCAGTGGGGGAGGTACCGAGCTCCATGATCGATGTAGATTGAGGCTTGAGGGTGGTGAACGGAGGGGTGCGCGAGGGTAGGCGGGAGACTAGTGGACACTAGACGATGGGGAGGAGAGAGGATAGCTGTTGAGGACGTGTCTGCTTATATATCTAAGAGGGGTGGGCTAACAAGACACGAGGGCAGAGGCGGGATTCTGCGGCCCGCAGGTGCATGCGTGTTGTGGAATGGTGGCATGGTGCGATGCAAGGGGGGAGGGCGCAACAAGAAGCATGCATCGCTTGCGAGCTTGCGAGTGAGGAGTGGAGGCGTGGCCGGTAAGCGGTGGGGGTGGACTGGAGGTCAGGTGGACAAGTGCCCATGTTCAGCGAGCCATAGTCCTGGGACCGACGTCAGCCGTTGGTCATCTGGTCACTTGACCCAGCCAAGGGCCTCACAGCTCAGCTGACCTGCTTCTCACTCGACCCTGCTGTTGTCCTTGCGCCGCCTTGTCCTGCTCTGTAGCCTGAACGCCGACTTAGAGCCAGCTTGAGCTACTGTAAGTTGAATCGTTATGCATCCTCCCCCGTACCGGACTAATCGACTCGAAACAGCACAAGCATGCGCTCGGAGGGCCCCAGGCCCAAAGCGAATTCCCACCCCGCCCCCACCTCCTCCTGCTGCGCTGGCTGATCCCGATCGATCTCCGGTGTCCTACAATGACTCAATGACGACAGGTGCCTTCAACCGCGCTTGCTCTGATCCGGCACGTCCACATCCATGTCACTTGAACGCCAGCCTGCCCCTCTGTGAGACAGGTCCCCGGAGGCCGTGCCCCATCCAAGTGCCACAGTGCTGGCTTCACCATCACACAACCGCGAGCGCGTATACTACGGCATGAATTGACAACGCACTGTTTGCACACCTATGAGAACTGATAACAAATGGCCCTCGCGATGATCGACACGCCCGCCATGTCTATGCTGCTATACGTTCACATCTACGCGACGCTATGCGGCAAATGAGCGGCCGCTATGAAGCTCGTTCAGCCTGCCCGATGGACGTCGATACAGCTTGGCTGAAAGCTCCCCCTGACCTCGTTGCCCGCCGACAGGCAGATCTGCAGATGCTCGAAGCCCGTTGACCCGCCCGTTCGCGTGACTCAGAGCTCGCGACGACTCATTGCTCCCACCCTTCCGCCAACCTCTCAGCATCCCGACCACCCCACACCTGTGCTCTGACCATCTTCGCGACGTACTCCCCCGCCGCCAGCGAACTCGTGAGACCTGGCGATGCGAATCCGAACATCTCAATGAGCCCGCGGCGCTGGGGCGAGTGACGGACCACGAAGTCGAAGAACCCAGCGCCTGGCGGGGCAATGTTTGGCCGGAAGCCGGCGTAGTCGGGCTGCAGCAGACTGGGATCAACGCCAGGGAGCATGGCCTGAGCCGCTTGACCAATCGACTCGAGGTGTGCCGCCGACGGCGCAAGGTGTTTCTGCCAGAAGTCGGGATCCGCGGCAGAGTCCTCGGCACTGCCGAGTGCCTCCACGTCGGGGCCGAAGCGAATGTTGCCGTCTAGGTCGAAAGTCTGATTGTCAGCAGTGCTTCAAGAGAGAGACATGTTTCGCGACTGGTTTCGCTCGCACATGTGCGCCGGTCACCCTACAATCAGGACTCACAAGATGCGTCCCGAGTGAATCCAAGCTGACGCTGGGACACGGGTAGATGAGCTTGTTGACATTCTCGACGCCAGGACCCTTGTAGCTCATGTAATTGCCTGGCTATCAGCTTGGCCACTTCCTAGAAGCTCACCCTTCGAGATGTAGATGTTCATTCGCTCCTCTCAGGAAGCAGCTCGTTGACTAGGGCGGCCGAGTTCAAACCCGCCGCGTCAACGACAACGCTCGCTCGCACCGCATCGATGTCCCCTGGCCCGTCCTCCCAGTTGCTCTCAAGCTGGACGACCCACCCCTTGCCGTCTTCTGCGGGATCGATCCGAACCACACGCGTGCCGGGAACGATGACGCCTTCGCCCCTGTCGAAGCTTCGGCCAGCGAGTCCGACACCATTCTTATCCGCCCCGCTGGCTTTGAGATAGTCCTCCTCCTGTATCTCGCGCTCAAGTGACTCGACGAGGGAGCCACTGTTCACGATGCCTGTCTCGGTTACGAGGAGCGCGGCGCACACGTTCGGTGAGAGGTCGGGCTCCATGTCCCGCGCCTCGTGGCCTGAGAGAAAGTATGCCGGGATGACCGAGTTGTTGACCATTGCGCTCTCCGGCTGTCCGTTCAGGAAGGCGGAATTGTTCGAATGAGCCTGCAGTCCATCCAGGTACGGAATTTGGTGCTTGTCCGTGGCAACTATGAGCTGAGTTTTAGCTACGTGAAAAGGCCTCGAAGCGCAAGACGACGAATGGCGGGTAGGAAGAGAGCATGAAGAGAATGTCACTCACCTTGCCAGTCTTCCTGTGGGGAATCTTCAGAGCCTCTGCCCTCGCGTACAGCAGGTCGCGACCGCGAATACAAAGCTGCGACTTGAGGCTGCCGACGGGATAGTAGATACCTGCTGTCAGCTGCTGCATGAATGACCTTAATTACCCGAATGGATGACTTCTGAGTTGCGCGCCGTGTTCTCCTGTCCCAGCTGATTTGTCAGCTCGTTATGCTCTATACACTTCCGGAGGCAGGAAGACAGGCGATGATGTTGTGGTGTGCGAACTCACAAGCTGCCTTCTCTCGACAAGGAATGTCGTTCGTCCTGCTCCCGCCGTGTTGACCAGCCCTGCCGCAACTGCAAGACCGACAACACCTCCGCCAACGACCAGGTGGTCGACACTGGCCGAGGGAGCTCGATAAGGATACTTTTGTCTTATCAGACGCGCGAAGTTGGACATGATGGACGCTGCAATGTTTCGATCGTCCAGGCCGTGCGCGGTAGTGTCTGAGGTGAAAGGGCCGCCAGTTGTGATCGGCTATCAGTGGTCTTCAGCTTGCACGAGCGCGCGGCGATAGAGACCCAGACCTTTCAATCCAAGAGGCCGATGACAGATGAGATAACGGAGCGGAATGGAAAAAGTCAGCGGACATGGCCGGGCCAACAATGTCCAACGCAGGCTGCGTGGACAGCGCCCTGAGCTTCTAGGCACCACTGACCTCTGGTAGGTCAGCGCCGGTGGCCGGTGACTATGCCGAGCTCGCCCAGCTCGGCTGGACCGGTGACAATTTTTAGTTGTATCCTTGCAGGTTCCCCATCTCGGCGGCGTCACCTGTAGATCTGCAAGGTGTGGTCCCATGTGATAGCAGTGCGAGCGTCGAGGGTGCTCGTGGATGCTCGCGCCGAGGGCGATGCGGGCGATGTGATATAAGAGAGGGTGCGATGGGCACGGTGAGCAACGCGGAGAAGCTTGGCGCCGACGCGCCAATCAAGGATGGTAGATTATAACAGATAAAAATGCATACATACTCAGAAACCAAATGCTTATGCCTCTAGAGAAACTGTAATAGTACAAGTGTTCCCGCAAGCGGTCTGGCTGTCGAGCCGTGCGATTGCTTCAGGTGAATGGATGGGGGTCACCTGGGTGTGTGAAGATTTACTTGGAGCCGTTGGCCTGGCGCTTGCGCAGAGGGTCGTCGAGGTCGCGACCGAGGATGGAGCGCAGCTGTTCCCGAAGAGGGTTCGTCTCCTGCTCCTCCTTGATGAACCAAGGCTTAGACATGTAGTTCCGTGTGCTGTCGGGGAAGATAACGACGACGTTCGCGCTCTCATCCTGGCCAATAGCCTTGCCGTCCTCAGACTTGAGGAACTTGAGCGCGCCCGCGAGCGCCGAGCCGGAAGAGCCACCAATGAAGAGACCCTCCTCGCGAACAATGCGCTTCGCCGTCGGGAGCGCCTCCGAGTCGTCGACCTTGACCCACTTGTCGATGAGCGACTCGTCGCGGTCGAGTACACCGGGGTAGAAGTCGTATCCGATACCCTCGACGATGTAGTTTCCGGGATCACCGCCGCCGAGGATCGAACCGACGGGGTCGACAGCAACAATGACGGCCTTCTTGACACCATCCTCCTTCTCGGCGTGGCGCTGGCCACGGGCAAGACCGGTGACAGTTCCGCCAGTTCCGGCTCCGGCAACAAGCGCGGCGATGTCCTTCCGCTTCAAGTTGGATGACTTCAGCGCATACCGGATCTCGGGGTACGTGCCGAGCTCGTGAGCAAGCGGGTTGTTGGGGTTGTTGTACTGGTCGAGGATGACTGCTCCGGGAATCTTCTCCTTGAGCTGGGCAGCCAGGCCTAGCGCGTTAGGTCCCAAACGCTTCAACGCTTTGCCCAGTCAACTCACCTATGTTGCTCTCGGGCGAGTCCCACGCCGCCTCGGTACTGGTTGTTAGCGCGGACTCGGACGATCTAGCGAGATAAGACTTACGGGGTGCGCACAATCTCGGCACCCAAGGCACGGAGCATGACCTCCTTTTCAAGCGACATCTTCTCGGGCAGCGTGATGATGCACTTGTAACCCTTGATGGCACAGGCCATCGCGAGGCCAATACCTGAACCGTCAGAGGTCTTGCGCTTCAATGGCTCGTCTCGGAGTGCGCCGGCGCCGTGTGCCGAAGCTCAAAGCAGATGCTTACCAGTGTTGCCGCCTCATCGTTAGCCCCAGACCAGTTTCTGCTATACTCACTAGTAGGCTCGATAACGACGCTCTGGCCGGGAATGAGGATGCCCTCCTTCTCAGCATGCTCAATCATACGCTGAACCCATTAGCCAAGGAACATCCAGACGTCACAGTAGCCCACCTTGGCAATACGATCCTTGACGCTGCCACCGGCGGACATGAACTCGCACTTGCCGACTGAAAGTTAGCCTCTGCAGGCGCGATGAGCTACTCACGAAGGTTGCACTTGAGACCTTCAGCCTGTGCAATCTTGTCGAGGCGGATGAGGGGAGTGTTGCCCACTCCCTCGAGGGCGTTGTTGAGGACGCCGTTCCAGTGGTGCTGTCCGGAGGTGGAGTCGGCCATGATGCGCCTTCGATCCTTGATGGGTTGGGTGGTTAAGAGAGAGGGATAGAAGTTATGGATGTGAGACGGGGACGACGGGATGGGCTGTGTGTGCCAGAGGGCTGGCTGGTTTCAACCTTGAGGTCGCCGGTGCTTTGGTTTGAAATCTGCACGAGGAATCTGATAATAATCTGTGCACCTCCACCGCTTCCGTCCCAGCGTCCCTGCTCCACCTTGGCGCAACTGCCCCCATATCTGGTGCTACCTGACGCCACAGGATCCGGCCGAGCATCAGAGTTCCCGTCAGGCACACCCACACGGCGACCTCCGCACCTCTCCGCTCATCACATCATGCGAGACCCACGCGACTGCAGTATACGTAATCAGATCGCCACTCAGGATTATCGGCCGTGGGAGAGTTGACTCACTTGGCGGAAGCATCCTGTCCCTGACGTCTGTTGTTGACACTGCTGTAAACGGTCGGTGCAAGGCGCGCAGGGCGGAGCGAGCAACCACCTAAGCCAAGCGCGACTGACCTTTCATCACTACCCTCGTCTCTCGGCACACTCAAACTCTGCAGCTGCACCTAAACATGGCCACCCCACCACCGCCGGGCCATGCGGACCATGCGGCGCCCATCTTCCCAGACACGACTTCGGAGACCGGCGAGCCTGGCAGCATCCTCTTCTCAGAGCAGGTTCGCGCAGAGATCGACAGCGACAACAAACGCGTCCTCGACCGCGCAGCGACGGCGGCCGCCGGGCGGGCGGACGACGAGCGAGATGCGGATCCCACAAACATGTCCAACATGTTCATGTATGTGGACGACGAGGACGATGCAACCCCAGTCCACACTGGCATCATCGTGGACGACGGCCCGACACCAACTAAGGACGACCAGGACGAGACCATGACGAACGCTGATGCGCCTGCCGACAACGTTGACATGCACTTTTGGCTCGAGAGCCAGGACGAAGGTGACACTGAGATGGACGGGGACGCGAGCACGGTTGCCGTTGTCAAGTCGGAGGTGACAGAGGCCACTGGGACTACGTCGGATAACTACGACAAAGAGGACGACGACGATGATGAGGACGGGTACTCAGAGCCGATGAGCTATCACTCTGGCGACTCGGACGAGTATGAGATGGAACACCGACCATGGCTCGACCGCACAGCTGTCAAGCGCGACATCCAGGATCTCTACGCCATCAAGGGTCTGTATCACCACCACCTCCGAAAGTACCGGTACCGCGTCGTCGATCGGCTTGGCGAGGGAACGTTCTCGTCGGTCTACCTGGCCTACGACAGCCTGAACAACATGTACGACAACTCTTACTGGCTGGACGAGGCGCAGAACGAGTCAACGCCCGACAATTTATTCGCCGAGTCGAAGAAGGTCAAGGTCGCGCTGAAGAAGATCCTGGTGACAAGCTCGCCGGCGCGCGTCGAGAATGAGCTCTCGATCCTCGAGAACCTGCGCGGGTGTCGCAACGTTTCACCCCTGATCACAGCATTCCGGGATGAGGACCAGATTGTCATTGTGCTGCCATATCACAAGTCCGATGATTTCCGCTACTTCTACCGCCTCATGGACCCGCCAAAGATCCAGGAGTACATGGCGTGTCTGCTCCGATCACTGAAGGATATCCATGCCCGAGGCATTATCCACCGGGACGTGAAGCCAGCCAACTTTCTCTTCGACTACGAGGCGGGCACTGGTGTGCTTGTCGACTTCGGCCTGGCGGAGCGATATCAACCACCCCGGCGAGCAGCCTGTCAGCACGAGCCCGCGACGCGGGAGCACCTGCACGGCACGCGGACGAAGACGGGAGATACGGTTGCGGTTGAGCAGGCTGTGTACGATGCTCGAAAGCGCGCAAAGGCCGGCGATGTTGGATTTCGGCAGCAAGACTCGCGACCAGCAATCAAGACGAACCGAGCTGGAACGCGAGGGTTCCGCGCACCCGAGGTACTGCTCAAGTGTCCCGACCAAACCGTCGCAATCGACATCTGGTCAGCAGGTGTTATCCTCCTCTCCCTGCTTGCTCACAAGTTCCCGGTGTTCAACTCGACAGACGATGTTGAAGCACTCATGGAGATCGCGGCTGTGTTTGGGAAGGGCGCGATGGAGCGCTGTGCGATGCTGCACAGTGAGTTGAGCTCCTTTGTTTGGCCTTGAGTGAGAAGCTAACGGCAGACCGCACGATCATCTGCAACGTACCCACAGTCGACAGCCCGCCGGACAGCCTCGCAGCTCTGATCCTTCGCCTCAACCCACACCTGTACACGCCGCACCAGCCGCACCCAACGCCCGAGGAGGCGATGCAGCACATCACAGCTGTGGACCAAGCCCTCGACCTCGTCAACCGCATGCTGCGCGTGGACTCGACGAGCCGCTTGACGGCGGCAGCGGCACTAAGGCATCCCTTCCTGGCATCCATGGCTGGAGACGATGATGGGCCCGACGAGCTGCTCAATGTCACCGAAGGAAAGTGCGGATATTTGCACACGATGACAGCAGAGGGACAACGTGAGTATTCCTACCCTCATCGCTCACGTCGCCTCATCGGCCACCCAGTCTCTGGGCTCAAGTTTGCGTCTGTGACAGAGGAAGCAGATGATGAAGCTAACGAGCAGATCAAGCCTCCTTCGGCGGGCAATCCGAGGACATGCGATTCGGCCAGGGTCTACCATCGTCTCGCGACTCCATGTGCCCCGAGCACGAACACTGGCAGCAGCGGTCGGGCGTAAACCCCATCGGGGCCGCTGCTGGCGCTCGCTTGGACGAGGAGTACTACGAACTCACTGGTTTCCATGTCTACCAGGATTATGAGGGGTGGGACGACCCAGAAGCCGTCGAGGGACGGTAGTTAACAGCGTTGACGCGGAGACCGGGTGATGCGCTGTTCACGCGGGGTCGCCTGAGCAGTCGTGGAAGGAACACAACGAGGAGAGCAGGAGGATGGTAGGGGAAGCAGAGAGCATAGAACGGCCACCACCCTCGGCCACTGTACAAGCAACAACCACATTGCATTACAACCAAGAACCTGTAATAGAACCCTGTAACCTATAGTCCTTCCGATATGCCACCATGTTGCTCTGTGCGTGCTCCTGTTTCTCTGGGTCTTCCTGTGCGCCTTGGAGAATCGTTGGGAGGTAGAATGATACATGTCTTCTGATGCAGGGGATCTAATGTTATAATGAGTAAAGTGGTACAAGCTGGAGGCGCAGCCTCGATGGAAGTGGTGGGTATGCTGTTAACGTGCTGACGGGTTGGTGTGGGAAGAATGCTACAATGCAAGTCGGACTGGACGCAGAGGCGTGCGAGGTGGATCAAATGTGGGATGGGAGTCGAGCAGGGGCTCAGAGCTGCGGCGTGGGCGGGACGAAGAGGTTCTGGAGCTGTGGCCGCCTGCTATTGAACTTTGAGAACGAGGCGTAGCTTGCCGGTTGGGAGGAGGGGAACGCGCTGCTCGTGAATGCAAAGTCGTGCTTCCAAGAGTCCGTCTTGCTCCACCCGTACGACTCCTCGGAGACCACGGGCGTCGGGGGCCACGAGGCGCACTCCTCGTCCTCGGAGCAGGACGTGTGGTCGCTCTCGCAGCTGGGGACCGGAGACATGAAGATACCGAGCCCGATCGTGCCCATGCCCGCACAGCAGCGCAGGGGGGCGTGAGGGAGGACTGTGTCGCCGCTCCCCTCTGAGGAGGTGCTGGGAGTAGGTGAGGGCGAGTCGAGGCATACTTGGACCGCGACGGGCTCGCCGGCCTCGGTCTCGATGCAGGCCGGTTGGGATGCGGCGAGGGGCCCAAGAGAGCGCTTGGGAGCCTGAAGCGCCGTCGGCATGGGGTAGGTAAATTTGGGTGCTGGCACAACGGGAGCGAGCTCGTACTCAGCGCCTTGATGGACATAGACTGAGATAGAGACTTGTGCTGGGTTCGCGCGAGACACATTGACTCCGGGGCTGAAGAACTCGCCGACGCGCGCGCCGACGCAGTCGGCCATCAGAAGGGGCGTGGAGAAGGAAGCACAGGGACGCGGTCGCTGTCCACCTGTGAGGCCGCCTCGGGCGTCGATAGCCGACAGCTCAGCCTCCGTCATGTCCACCCGCCAGAGAGTCAGGCCCTCCATTAGGTGGGCATGTGTTGGACGTCCCGCGGCACGGAGAAGAGCGATCTTGAGGTCACGGATCGAAGCGTCCTGGTCAACGTCGACGATGACGAGCTGCGCACGCTCACCCTTGCCGCTGAAGCGCGCGCAAAGCGTGAGGGGCACACGTGGCTGCACCCAGTCGATGGCGGAGAGTGTTTCTCTGCTCCGAGCAAGAATGTTGATCGTCCCTTCCTCGATGTGCGGGAACCACTGCGCAACCGTCGGCGCGGGACCCTTGTAGTATGAGCTCCGCTTCAGACGCAGCGAGCCAGAGCCGTTGCGATACGCAGGCAGAGGCAGCCCACCCGAGGCGTGCATCTGCGTCGCATCGTCGAGATTGTATGCCGGGAACTGGGTCAAAAGAGAGGGCACAACCCCGTAAGACTCGGCATACGCTGAGGCCTGATATTGCGCCTGCCAGGGAATGGACACCTGTGACTGGTCAGCAGACAGCAGAGGGTGTGCGACAATACGGCAAATGCTGTTGATATAAAATGGGGAGAAGTACGGTGAGATTGAGAGACCTCAGCACGGCCTGCACGGTCAAGACCACGGTGCCCGTTCCTCGGACAAAAGGGATACCTCGAGGCTCGGACCTGTGCCTTGAGTTTGTACCTGATGCGGTCACGCAGGGACCGGCGACGCACAGTGAACCAGCTATCCACGAGTGCTGTCCGACAGCGACGATCGCGGCACCTGGGCCTGGCCTCTGCGAAGACGCATACATCAGGCGAGGCATGATGGTGCGCATTCAATCCGAGGATTTGAATTGCCCCTCGCCAGACTCATATTCAGCTCAATGGCGGATTAAGCTCAGAGCTGACCATGTAGGTCGGTCACCAAATCTTTGGTCCCCGCCCGACCGGTCCGTTCGGAATCGGACGACTGACATGCCCAGCCCGGCGTCATTCCCGTGTGCCCCTCCGCCCAATGACGAAGGGAGTCAAGCGAGGAATGTACATGCAGGCTTCAATCCCTCACAGCGAGCCGCACACTCGAGCGAAGGACAGAGGCAAGAAGGTACGGTGCGCGAGAGATCGCTCCGCAAGCTCGACAGGAACGCGGGGAGTGATGAAAGATGTCGTAGGGAGGTGTCATACTCACTTTGAACAGTGCGATGCCGGTCCGACCGATGTGCGCTGCGGCCGCTTCCCGGATGGAGTCCACAGTGCCTTCCGCGGGAACAGAGATCGTGAAGGCATCCCGGGCTGCGGGGCCGGCGTCAACGAGCACTCGCAGCTCAAGCGGTTGAGCGGAAGGTACCGGTGGGACGATTAACGACTTGCGATTTCGGTTGAAGATACCCAAGCCCATCGTTGACTAACGTTTGCGAATGCGATGGGCGAAAGTGAAGGAGAGAAGTTGGTGTATCGTGGAACGATGACGATATGGGGAAGTAGTGTGATAATGGCGCCGGAGATCCTAGGCGGCGGAGATGTTATGGATGAGAAAAGACGACACCGCAGTGCATGTAGCAGTCCGGAGTGTCAAGACGGGTAATCTTGGCTCAAAGGAATAAGAGACGGTAGCGCGGTAGCGAAAGGTGGAGTCGAGGCGTGATCGTGATCGAGCCAGCGATGAGGACGCTAACCCGTTCTCTCACTGGGTCGGCGTAGACAACTAGTGCCGGTGCTGGTTTAGGTCGGTCAGGGGTATGTTGGAGCGAGTGACTACCGAGTTGGAGTTCTCGAAAGTGAAGAGGGTGTGCAGTTCTTGGATGCTTGCTCGGTGGGTGTACGGGGGAACAGGCTCCATCAGTCAGGAGAGCCGCGGCCTTATATCCAAGACTGGCGGAAACGAGCGGTTCTTGTCTTGTTCTTTGGTTCAGTGGGCCGTTAGCGTCCAAGTGCCGTCGGGCCGGCCAACGGCTGAGCAGCCCAGTGCTTTCGCGATAGCGCCAACATCCAGGAATTGGGATTACGTTTCGGGCTGAGCTGGCTGAACTGATAGACGCTCCCTGTGCTCCTTCGCGTGCCGCGTCTTTGGGTGGACGCTCGACGCATTTCCAGGGTTGCAAGGTATGGCGCTTAGACTACACGGAGGCGAGTGCTGCAAAAATGCTGGACCCTGCGCTCTAACCAGAGTGATCGGCAAGTATGGAGGTTGGCCAAGACTTGCCTCCTGAGCTGGCTGATCCTGTCTAGGTGGCCCATGCTGTAGTTGTGGCCAGACATGGGGGAAAGGGACAAACACAACAGGGCCGGGGGTTGCCTGTGCAGGAGGCATGCAGTAAGGCGTCGACCAGGATTAGTGGGATGCCTGGCCACGGGAGCGGCGTTCCAGTACGCTGAAAACTGCAGGCTTCTGGCCCGGCGGTTAGGGTATGCCGTCGACTGCCTTCAGTTTTGAAGCCTCTTGGTCGATGCAATCGACAGGGGGCAAGGCAGGGCAGGAGGACGAAAAGTGGTGGCGCCATGGCCCTGCAGTCCTCACAGGTCCCAGGGACCTTGCTAGCACCAACCACCCTGGCTCTGGCCCTGCAACGCCACCGACTTCCCGCTCACCTCACGCAATCCTGGCTGAGCCGTCACCTCTGCTGACTCCTGCCATTGACTCTCTGGCTGCCCGCTTGAGCCGGCCTGACTGGGCACTTGGGCTTTCGGCCACCCAGATATCGACCAGCGCCGACTTACAGTCGGTAATGCAAGGTACTCAGCTGCAACTAACCCACTCCTCTGACCCTATCGCGCTCAGACAGCAACATTACGCAGTTTCCTCTCTCCCCCCCGGACAAGGGAGGAAGCAGTTTTCCAGTTCTTCCAGGAATCTCACCCGGCCCGGGCACCCAAAGTGCACCTTTCCAAAGAACAGCTAGTTCGAAAGGAGAACGGGACTGCTACGCGTCGGACCTACTGCTGTTGCAGACAAGGTTGCTCTCGACTTGCATCCGAGATTTAGGTTGCGTTACCACACCGGGTCCTGTGCCTCGCAGACTTCTGCACCCGCAAGGCCGCATCCAGTAGCTTCCAGGTATCTGTGCGCTAGGATCAGGCTACGGACCGGTGGACGACTGCAGCTCAGAAGCAGAGCAGTAACGCGACGCGCACCAGGGAGTGAAAAAGAGAGCTAGGTAGGCACCCTGCGTGAATGATACCCATTACAGCATTGGCTCTTCCACACCTAAGGATTCCGACTGAAGTTCTGGCCGTAATCACTGCTCCCGGGGCGATTTACCATCCATACACCCAGTTAAAACGTATCCTTACCGAAACAACACCGAGGTTGCGTCGTATCGAGTCTTGAGCAATGCGGTAACAGACGGCTGCGCAGATCCGACCCAGGGATAGAGATCCAGCGGACTTCGGTGGAAGAGACATCCCATATTCCTTTCCAAGCACGTCACCTGCGTTAGAATCAGCACTTGCAGGAATAGCAGTGGAAGTCTCGACCGCCATGTCCACTGCCCGAGGCAGTCACATATGAGGACTCCTCAGACAAAGCCAGAAGCCGAGCGGGCGCGGGATTGGCCGATGCCTGTCGCTGAACGTCCCCAACGCCGTTCACGGATGATGATACGGTCTAAAGTCTGACTCGCCGTCTGTGACTGAAGTATCGTTCAGGTGATGACGCCCGCCCCTCAGTCACCTATGGAGCCGACGGCCGCATGCCAGCGCGATAGCATAGGTTGATGTCTGGCTGTTTCCATGCTGCCCACGCTGCGGCTCAGGCCGGGCATGATGACACGCGGACTTAGGTCCGAGTCTATGTGGGCTCATCATGTCGACCCGGAAGGCGGCCGGGACAGAAAGCAGTGATCGAAGCCTCCTTTGCGCCTACAGGTTACGATTGAGGATACGTATATGCGGCGCGTGCGGTTCCAGCGCAGCGTCTGAGAGGCAGCGAACAGGCTGTGCCTCGTATCGCGCACACAGGCATCAGCCGCATACCGACCCACTCGCGCATGGGAAGCTACGAACCGCCAAAAGAGAAAGAGGCGCCCATGTGGTCCGAGTAGCATTCCGCAATATGTGTGATCGCTTACTTGCACCCTCTGCATCTTGTCATGCTTACAGCAGACCGGCGTCTGTGACTGGTGGACAGTGGGATTGCTGGTAGAGGACCCACTTGCCCGTCCTACTGCCGTTAGACTCCCGCCCGGCCGCGATAACGAAGATCAACCGCACGAGGCGTAACCGCCGGTGTCAGCCTGCCGATCACTCAGGATAGTCCTCTAAAGATGGATGTCTTGTGCCTGGTCGCAGGCTGGCTGGCTCACATATCTTTGTGCTGCAGGAAAAGCGGCGCGGAAGGGGAATAAGGCTTGTCGGAAGGCTTGGCCAGTCATCGGGGGCACGGGACGCCACCGCCGCAAGTGAAGAAGTCTGTGTGGGGGAGGAGAGCACACGACCACCGCCGTTCGACCCTTAACTCAACCCTTGAAACCCTGTCGAAGCGTCTTGACCATTACTCTGGAGTGTGTGACTTGCTTAGGTCGTCCATTTGGCACCATACAGGTGCGTCTTGGCCAGTTTGCACACGATGCACCGACCACGGAGATCAAGAGGGCCTTCTTTCGGGCCTTCGTTCCTTCGTCCCCTCGACTCCTGCACGGAAGGCGCTGTGGCGGAGGCGGAGGCTTTCCCGCCGATCAGCGATCCGCGGGGCTCTCATGTCGTCGATCCGGGGATCTGTGTCATCTTCAGAGCAGTAGACCGGAACTACCCATGATCTGAGAGGATCTACCAGTGGTGCTTATGAGTGACAGCCAACGCGAGCAGATCGGAGGAACAGTCAGTGGCACCGTGACTGGATGAGCCGGTGGCTCCGGTCGAGAGCGCCGGATGGTGGGCAAACTAATTTATCCTGAGCAACTAGATCTACTGCTTCGCCTTTGACATTGGCCACGATTCATTTCAGGTCAGGTTAAAGTTACGTCTGGTAGCGGATTCGCAACGCGGAGGCTTTCGCCCGCGGTGGAGGGGGGTTTACGTACTTCCGGAGGACTGGTGGTTGTGCCGCGATTCCGACACAGTGGGCCAACCGTTCAGTTTATCGCACGTAGCCCGCCATGTGTACACCGGCGGTTCATGAGGAATATCCAGCCAGATCACACGAGTGTGCGTTCTCCTCCAAAGCTCCAAGCCAATGCACACGCATGCACAGCACTTCTTAACCTCGTCCTGAGGATGGGCAGCAAAATGTGAACGCATACGCCAGTGCAGAGCAGGACACAACCCATGCGCCACTTAGCTCCTCGTGTCCGGCTTTCCAGTTGAAGTCGTGAGGCATGCGATGTTGCTCTGAGGCTCCGCATCTCGCTTATCGCCCTCAACTTTGGTTAAGCACCACTTCCCCAATCGATTCCACTTCCGGAGGCTACCCATGACCCGTCACAGCGCATTCTCCTGTCGCCTGCCGTAAGGCCTCTTCGTTACCAACTGACGCCCTTGAGGCCCCTTGACCCGCGGCCCGCGGATTCGCAAGATTCGCGCGCGAAGTTCGCTAGGAGCGAGGCTTGAATATCCATAAGCCGCAGGCACGGGCACACAAGAGGCACTCACGCATGCACGAAAGGACGAGCGCGGTGAGCAGCTGCACCGCTTCGCATTGAGAAATGCAGGGCCCGTTCAACCCGGTGCCTCGTTCTGCCCACCGAAGGATTGAGACAGGCACACTTTGCACCACTTCATTCTCGTGTCAGTTATGAAGAGAGTGGCTGAGGCTATGCAGATTATGCTGCGGCAGCGATGCTACCGCACACCAGCTGATCACATTGTGGCTGCTGATGTTGTACATCCAGAGGGGCCTTGCTCGCCTTGTGACGGCTACGCTATTGAACGCTCCGAAGGGGACAAGGAGAGAGAATAAATGTCCAACCGTGCCTGACCCTCACCACAGGTGGATTCCTGCAAATCGCACCCAAGCCCGTTCCTGCGGCGGCTTGGTGCCCTCCTTCCCTCACTGCCTTTGTCGCCCTGTACGCTTGGTTGCAAATGCTGGTGCACGGTGCACAGGCACCCACAGCAGCACATAGTGGCCTCTGACTGATTCCCGTCAGCAACGGTTATCGGCCGGGGACAACCCCATGCACGGACGCAACTCTAATTGCGAAGTTACCGAGTGGTTGGTTACATCCAGAGAATTCATGCGGGCGGCTACGGCGTTCGCCATTTCCAGCTAAAATCCCCAGCAATGAGCAACCCGCACCGCCGCATCGAAGATCCCACCACAAGCTAGGAGATATGACTGCCAAAACATGGGCCCATTTGACGATGCGCAGTACCTTGGTCCACTGTTACTACAGTGGATGGCCGCATCGGGGTGCTGGTCGTCGTCGCTCGATTCAAGTATAGTACTGTAGAAGCAAGTCTGCC